TCTAAATAAGGCTCTAGAGTGCTTGGGCTTAGCAGACATCTACAGAACACTAAACCAAAAAAAAATCTGAGTACACATTTTTCTCCAGCACACATGAATATTCTCCAGGATCAATCACATACTGGGACACAAGACAAACATCAACAGATACACCAAGATCGAAATTATACCAACCATCTTCTCTGACCATGAAGGTATCAAACTGGAAATAAACCATAAAAAGAAGGCAAGGAACTCTCCTACCTCATAGAGATTGAAACCCACATTACTGGAAGACCACTGGACTAATGAGGAGATCAAAGAAGAAATTAAAAAATTCTTTGAGTTGAATGACAAGGAGAACACCTATTTCCTAAATGTATGGGATGCAGCAAAAGCAGTAATAAGAGGAAAATATATAGCAATAGAGGCTCACATCAAGAAACAAGTAAGAACTCAAAGAAACAACCTAATCTCGAAGCTCAAAGAACTAAAAAAAGAACAACAAAAAAGCCCTAAAACCAGTAGAAGAAAAGAAATAATAAAAACCAAAGCAGAAATAAATGAAATTGAAACTAAAAAAACAATCCAAAAGATCAATGAAACCAAGAGCTGTTCTTCTTGAAAAATAAATAAAATAGACAAACCCCTAGCCAGGCTCACAAAGGAAAAACGGGAGAAAGCACAAATAAACAGGATCACAAATGAAAGAGGAGAAATCACAACGGACACAGCAGAAATCAAGAGAATAATCAGAGACTACTATGAACAGTTATATGGAAACAAGCTCAACAATCAAGAACAGAAGGACAAATTCTTACAACTCTACAATCACCCAAAGCTAGATAAAGAAGAAATAGTACACCTAAACAGACCAATTACAATTAGCGAAATTGAAATGGTAATCAAAAACCTCCCCAAAAACAAAAACCCCGGACCTGATGGATTTACAAATGAATTCTACCAAACATTCAGAGATGAATTAGTGCCTATTCTTCACAAATTCTTCCAAAAAATTGAGAAGGAAGGGATAATACCAACATGTTCTATGAAGCCAACATTACACTAATACCAAAACCAAACAAGGACAATACAAAAAAAGAAACTACTGGCCAATCTCGCTAATGAACACTGATGCAAAAATCCTCAAAAAATTTTAGCTAACAGAATCCAACAATGTATCCATAAGATAATTCACCACGACCAAGTAGGATTCATGCCAGGGACACAAGGATGGTTCAACATCCGAAAATCAATCAATGTTATCCAACACATCAACAAAAAGAAATATAAAAACCATATGATAATATCAATAGATGCGGAGAAAACTTTCGACAAAGTGCAACACCAATTCATGATAAAAGCCCTTGAAATTCTTGGGATACAAGGAACATACCTCAACATCATAAAGTCCATATATGACAAGCCAACAGCCAGTATCATTGTCAATGGCGAAAAGCTGAAAGCATTTCCATTAAGATCTGGAACAAGACAAGGATGTCCACTCTCACCACTGCTTTTCAATATAATACTGGAAGTCCTAGCCATAGCAACAATAAGACAAGAGAAAGACATACAAGGAATCCAAATAGGAAAAGAAGAAGTTAAACTATCACTGTTTGCATATGATATGATAATATACATAGAGAACCCCAAAAATTCCACAGAAAAACTAATTCAACTCATCAATCAGTTTAGTAAAGTGGCAGGATACAAAATCAACACGCAAAAATCAGTAGCCTTCCTATACACAAACAATAAATCTGAAGAAGAAGAAATTAAAAAAAAACATCCCTTTTATTATTAAAACAAAAAAAAATCAAATACTTGGGAATAAATCTATCAAAAGAGGTAAAGGACCTATACAAAGAAAACTATAAAACACTGTTAAAAGAAATAGAAGAAGACACAAAGAAATGGAAAGACATCCCCTGCTCATGGGTTGGAAGAATTAACATCATCAAAATGGCCATCCTACCAAAAGCAATATACAGATTCAATGCTATTCCAATAAAAATTTCAATGTCATTCTTCAAAGAAATAGAACAATTATTGATGAAATTCATATGGAATCACAAAAAACCCCGAATAGCCAAAGCTCTCCTGAAAAAAAAAGAAGGGAATGGAGGCATCACACTCCCAGACTTCAAACTCTACTACAAAGCCATAATCATCTAAACTGCATGGTATTGGAACAAGAACAGACACACAGACCAATGAAATCGAATAGAAAATCCAGAAATAAACCCACAGATTTATGGTCAAGTAATCTTTGACAAAGGAACAAAGAATATGCACCAGAGCAAAGAAAGTTTGTTCAATAAATGGTGCTGGGAAAACTGGGTTGCTACATGCAAAAGAAAGAAGCTTGACCACTACCTCACACCCACAAAAACCAACTCAAAATGGATTAAAGAACTAGACATAAGACCTGAAACCATAAAATACATAGAATATAGGCAAAACAATACATGACATGCACCTCAAAGACATCTTTACAGACACATCACCCAAAGCAGTGATAGTGAAGGCAAAGATAAACAGCTGGAGTACATCAAATTAAAGTGCTTCTGCACAGCAAAAGATACAATAACCAAAACAAAGAGAAACCCCACCAACTGGGAGAACATTTTTGCACACAACACTAATGATAAAGGACTGATCACAAAAATCTACAAAGAGCTCATGAGATGCAACAAAAACAAAGAAAATAATCCAGTCAAAAAATGGGCAGAAGAGCTAAAAAGAAACTTCTCTGAAGAAGAAATGCAAATGGCCAACAGGTATATGAAAAAATGTTCAACATCACTTGTAATCAGGGAAATGCAAATCAAAACTACAATGAGATACCATCTCACACCAGTGAGAATGGCACATATTAAAAAAAACTAGCAACAACAAATGATGGCAAGGATGTGGAGAAAAGGAACTCTCCTGCACCGTGGTGGGAGTGCAAACTGGTCCAACCACTATGGAGAGCTGTGTGGAGATTTCTTGACCTACTAAACATAGAGCTTCCATATGATCCAGCAATTCCACTCCTAGGTATTTACCCAAATGACACAGAAACAGTAATTTCAAAGAGCACCTGCACCCCTATGTTTATAGCAGCACTATTTACAATAGCTTAGCTATGGAAGCAACCCAACAATGCCCAAAAATAGATGACTGGATCAAGAAGATGTTGTACATATACACAATGGAATATTACTCAGCAATCAAAAAAGGTAAACACATGCAGTTTGCAGCAACATAGATGGAGCTAGAAGGGATCATGCTCAGCGAAATAAGTCAGAAAGAATAAGAAAAATACTGGATGGTCTCACTCATAGCAGGAATTTAGAAAACCTAAATAAGGGACCAGGAAAAAGACTAATCAATACAAAGTAAAAATCAAAATCAATAAGCAACTATAAGCCAGAGATACACTGGGTGGGGAGGGGCAGGGAAAGGAAGGACTAGAGTCAAAATAAGGGGGTGGTGCAATTGTATGGGGACTATAACCAAAACGAAAATGCATATATTGTGCAAAGATGAAAAAAGGTGTAAGAATTATTTAAAATAAAATATTTAGATTTAAAAAATAAAATAAAATAAAAATAAATAGATACTATTCTGGCAAAGTGGAAGCACACCCTTGAGAATCAGTTGCACATGCCTACAAAGAAGTTTGTATCACAATAGAGAGAGAGAGGCCATCAGGGAATATTTAGAAGATTACACACTGAGTAATCTGGACATTTCTTATAACTTATAATGGATATTTGATTTCTCAGCTACATTTTGTGTAAAATATTGTTGCTGTGGGTAAACCATGGTACAGTAAACCATGATGGATGGCTATTTTGTATTTCTCTAGCCATGAAGAGATAACATGTTGGGCCTCCCCGGTAGCGCAGCAGTTGAGCGCTGGGTTGCGAAGCTGCCCGCAGCCTCTGCTGCGCCGGTTCGATCCCGGGCCGCCGGGTGAGGGTCCCACATGGCGTGCAGACCTCTCCTGCCCCCCGCTGCTCCCCTCAGCAGTGTACTTCATCATTCTGCCTGCTCTGGTCTCCCCTCTGGCTCTGGTGAATTCTCTCACCCTCCTGCACTTCTGACTGTGCCCAGTGCTTGTATAAATAAATAAATAAATCTTAAAAAAAAAAAGAGAGAGATAATGTGTTATTATGCATCAGTCATTTTTGTTATTTTAGTTATACATTTTAATTCACCCCCAAATATATCAAAAATTGTGCTGCTTTCACCTCACTACCATACAAGTATTGCATGGTAGGATACCTATTAATATGCCTTTTTGAAGAACAGTTAACTGGGATTCAAATACTTCTACATGTGACAGTTACCAAAGCAAAGTCATGATGATGAGAAGCCCAGCATAGGAAATAACACAGGGATCTTATCTCTGAACCAGAGACAATCTTTCAAGTACATTCAATACAGATTCAAAAACATTGTGAATTCAGTGTCAGATCCAAGCATGTAAGTATGTAAGTCTACATAGTAGATCTCTTTTATAGATGTGAAGTCTGAATAATGTTCAAATGAAAATCAATTTCATATGCACTTGTAAAAATGTCTGTATAATTACAGGGTACCAAATCCAGTGCACAGAACTTAAGAACTTGTCTGAAAATTCAGGAGCTAATTATTTCCAAGAATATAAAAGGATACAAGAACCTGAGAATCCCTTCCCAGTACAGTGTGCAGTAATGGATGCCTAGAAGTTAAAACACTATTAGATTTCACCTTTCTTTTATACAGCAAAATATTTGCCAACATATCTTATACAAGCAGATATATTTTAAAAGCTTATAAATTCAAATAATAAAAACGATATGAACAAGTTGGAAGAGCAGCCTCTGCAGCTGAGGAGCAGGAGAAACTGCCTGAAAAGGATCCCACATGTTGGGACCCTTAGACAAACCTACTTTTTCCCTCCACTCTATTTGATGTATTTAAAAGAAAATTCCCTCATTGTTTGTTTCATAAATAATTATTTTACTTTATGTTGACAATAAAAAAGAAAAGAGATGTGGACATTAATTTTGGCTGTTTTATTTTCACGATAAATGAGGTGCTATTAGTTGCTATCTAATGTACCATACATAAATAAACAGTGAAGCAGGCTCAAGACTCTCACCCATTTTGGAAAACAATGGAACACGACGGTAACCTGAAAAAGGAATCAGATATAATTAGAACAGTAAAATAAATCACACTAATTTGAAGGGACATACACACACCTATGCTCATTGCAGCACTATTTAAGATAGCCAAGTTATAGAAACCACCTAGGTGCCCAACAACATATGAATGAATTAAAAATATGTGGGGGATATATATATATGCATGTATATATGCATATAAAGAAAATACGAACTCTTGCCATTTGTGACAACACATATGGAATTGTAGGGGATTATAATAAGCAAAATAAATCAAAGGAAAAAAAAGCCAGATGATTTCATGCCTATGTGGAACATAAAAAAGCAAAACAAAGGAACAGATAAAACTAAAGCAAAATAACCCTAGACATCTGAGATTACCAAGGGAAAGTGAGGGGGAGCAAGAAAGTGAGGGGGAGCAAGAAAGGAGAGGACCAAATGATTTATGGTACAGGATTACCATAACTTTGGTGGTGGGTGTGTTGTGGTATGAATGTACATATGAATGTACATTTGAATGTACATATGAATGTACATATGAAGAGATATAAATTTATACCCCTAAGTCATACATAGTGTTGTAAATCAATGTTATTGCAATAAAAAATAATACAGTTTTGAAAAGTAAGTAAATAAAGAATAGCTGCTATTAAAAATAATTAAGTAATCCTCAATTGCCTGGATAGCAGTCAAGAAAATATGTATCTTTAATATGCATATATAAAAACCTTCACTATGTAGTTATGTCATCTTTTATACCATGAAAATGAAATACTGCTGGTTATATTCTGACTTCCTTCTACCAAACACTGAGAACACAGTTGGTGCTTCCCCTTCCTCAAAGTGCAGCAAACTCCAAAATTAACCACCACCCTCTGCTTCAGACAGACTCTGATTCTAAGGTACATCTCAGATGGAGTTAGAAAGAAAACATACTGAGATGAGGCCATTGGGAGCACAGTGCAAATCACCCCAGCAAGGAGACTGAAAAAAGGAGGCAGTCTTGGAAAGAGTCAGGAAAGTTTTGAACTCCCAGTATCTCCTCTGTAGGAAGAATGAGTCTCTGCTTCTCTCTCCTGTTCAATTCCCACCCTTCATTTCTCTATGGTAGTCATTACTACTCTTAAACGATCCATATGAAGAAATGCTCATACTTGCCAAGTTTATGTAATTAGTCTTCCTAGCAACCCCACACCCAAATCCACCTTCATTATGAGAACACAGGTCTATAATTTCACTGAGATAAATTATGGGCCAATACATCAATGTTCCTTTATATCTGACTGTCATGGAGAGAATTAATTGGTCGATCAAAGCATGTATTTGATAAACTTAAGTTAAATTTCAGTGTTAGCACAGTTACCCTACTTGAGGAATATTACCTTTGTTCATGCATAGAACTGGTAAAGTATATTGCCCAAGAAATTCATTTTCAGTTATAAAATTTTGATTTTCAACAACAAAACGTATCAATGCCAGTTCTGGCACTTCAATAATAAATGTGAAGGTTTCATTCCATTTTGGACTAAAAGCTGAAATATAAAGGAATAGATACAATCAAATAATCATAGCCACTATTCTGAAAAGAAAAATGCATATCTGTTCTCCAAATTTTTTCTTATTGCAAATAATAATAGCTTCTGTTTTAGAGCATAAATTAAATCAATGCACATCACTAGAATTAAATTTAAAATACACCCCATGAGAAAAAAACCATGACAATTTTTATTAAATATTTACTATTGCTGAGCTATATTCTAAGAGCATGTAACAAATAATCTCATTTAATCCTCACAATATCTTCAGGTTTATTATGATTCACATTTATAGATGAGAAAACTGAGCCATAATGCTGTTACATTACTTCCTAAGAGTTTTGCACACTCAGACATGAAGTAGCATAGCAGGAATTCAAACAAATGAAGTCTGATTTCATAGCATACATGTTTAATGAGCATGCAATAGGACTGCTATGTTAAGACTTTTCATCATTAACAAAGAAATTGAGACATGAAGAGGTAATATTTTTCTATGCCAGGTTTTATTACGGGAAGAGTTCCATAGACATGGACTGAAAGCTAAGTAATAGGGCTCTAAAGTCAGGTTTTTACTGAGCGCGCACTTAAAGCCGAGTTAACAAGTAATGTATCTGTGGCAAAATAAATCATCCCAAACAATCTTTTGCCAAACAAGAAACTCAAAAATGTCATCCAAATCATCAAAAAAAAAATTTTTTTTTTCTTTTGTGGGACCCTTGCCGGCAGCCGGGGAACGAACCAGCGCTGCAGAGGCTGCGGGCAGCTTCGCAGCCCAGCACTCAACCGCTGCGCCACCAGGGGAGGCCCAAATCAAAATTTAAGCATAATTTAATAGAATCAAGAAATCAGATAAACCATATGCCATACTTACTAAAAACTCAAAGGTTCAGGAAGAAATAATAAGTATTGTTTCTCACGTGCAGAGGCAACACTATGCCAGCAATGTCAATAACTTTCATTGAGTTCCTTTCCAGAAGCATTGCAGAATTTGTGACCAATTATTCTGTATCGAATTTTTCTATGGCACATCTGTGATTATTCTATATCTAATTTTTCTATGGCACATCTGGTGTCACAACTACTATTTACTGATAATCCAAAATGCAGCATATGCTTATGAAAATAATAAACTAATTGACTTAAGCTAGAAAAATAACTAATTTACCTTACCTAAGAAGAAAAGAATTCCAAGAAGTACAAGATGACTCATGGATCAGGTTGATTCTTTTTTTTTAAAAGATTTATTATTTTATTTTTACAAGAACCAGGGTACAGGCCAGATGCATGGGAGGGTGAGAGGATTCACTAGAGACAGAGCAGGGAACAGAACAGGCAGACTGACGAAATACACTGCTGAGGGGAGCAGCGGGTGAGACAGGCGAGATCTGCTTGCCATGTGGGTTGCTCCGAGGCTGGCAGGGATCGAACCCGCACTGCAGAGGCTGCGGACAGCTTCACAGCGCTGCGCTCAGCCACCTGCGCCACCAGGGAGGCCCCAGGTTGATTCTTATAGATACTGTAAATCAATTCTTTACAGAATCAATTCTTTAAAGACACTATAAAATGAAGATGTATGTGCAAAATTCCCATACTGATTTATCCTTCCTCTACCAACCCTAGTTTGCTTCTCTCTCTCTCCTTCCTTCTCTTCTTTATCCTGTCTCCCTCTTCTCTCTGTCCCCTACTTCTCTCCCCACTCCCTCACACACACACACACACACACACACACACACTCACACACACAATCATACAAGAATGTGTTCACTTCTAGTTGTGAAAGTAACAAAAAGAAAGAAAGGAAAAGAACACTAGGATACAACGTTTGATAGTTACACAGTTTACTCTGGAATGACCAAAACTGAAGAATTACTTCCACAGCTTATCTAAATGATATTTTTCCTCCCCGATTATCATGTAGTTCATTATGTAGTTCATTACCCTAGCTGGTAAACCAACTTAAAATCCTTTTTATCTACTTATCTATACTTTTACTCCTACTAGTTTTCTACATACATGTCTTCTATTCCTTTCTTAATATCACAGTTCTTTATGACCTGAAATTACATTCTCTAATCATGAAATTGTATCTTGACATTATTTTTGTATTTCTCATCTCTTTCTCATACACTTCTCCCTCTCTAATCTGCAAAACAATCTTCCTAAAACTCAAATCTGTTAGCATTATATCCCTGTTTAAAAGTCTTAATTCTATTTATTTCTACAGAAAAGAAAATTCCTAATACCTTGTCATGGCTTTCACAATTTTCGAAGACCATCCCCAACAATACTTTCTCATTTTATTTCACACTAATCATTCTTAAGCACTCTATATTCTACCCATCTTGAATTTCTTTACTTTTCCCTAGCATGTTTGAATTCCATTCTCTCCATGATTTAGCACTCATGTTATCCCTTCTGCCTTAAATGTCTTATTTCTGATGTCTGTGAGAAACACTATTCATTCGGGCCTCCCCGGTGGCACAGCAGTTGAGCACTGGGCTGCAAAGCTGCCCACAGCCTCTGCAGCGTCGGTTCAATCCCTGGCCACTGGCAAGGGTCCCACATGGTGCGCAGACCTCTCCTGCCGCCCGCTGCTTCCCTCAGAAGTGTACTTCATCAGTCTGCCTGTTCTGCTACCCGCTCTGGCTCTGGTGAATTCTCTCACCCTCCTGTGCTTCTGACTGTACCCAGTGCTTGTATAAATAAATAAATAAATCTTAAAAAAAAAAGAACTACTATTCATTCTACAAGAACCATTTTTAAATCTCCACTACAATTCTGTGTATACTTAAAGCATTAAAAACAAAATCATTGTAGTTTCACATCCCCCATATGAACTGTATACTATCTACAATAAAGTTAGTTGGGACACACATCATAAAACATTTAATGGTCAGAGATTTTTAGGTTTTTTTAATTGTTAGCACTAGGCTTTCAGCATAACAGGGTGCACTAATTTTTGATGAGACAAAATGATTTTCTACAGGGATATTCCCATTAAATTCAGGGATATAATAAAAATTCTAATGGGAGCTACAGTTATTGCACTATAAGGACTATACTGAATAAGTAAAGGTTTCACATGTTTTAATAGGAAGATTCAAGTTGTAGATAAAGAGAATAGGAGATAAGTTTCTACTAACTTCCTGATATCAGCAGTTCCTACCAACAACAAAGGATGCCAAATGAGACAGTAAGTTACCATCAATATCTTTTCCCATTAGCAATAATGGATAAGGTAGCAAAAAATGACCCATATATCTTTTCCATGCTGTTTGTACCAGAAGCCACACTGGAGGAATATTGGGCATGTGGGGGTTGGGAAGGGGGTAAAGAGAGCCCCAAGAGAACGTAAATCCTAATGAAACTGCACCTACTGCTCTGTCCATGGTGTGTAGGTTGAGCCTATTTTCAGACTCTAAAATACAGTTCACTATACTTTGGGAATATATAAAGATTCCAGACTGTAGGATCTCCTCCAAGGTCATCCTGACTAAGGGTCAATTCCAGAAACCTATCCTTTTCCAATTCCCATAATGGTTTCAACCTCAGAGGAGAAATGACAAAAATATCATGTGCTGGAACACCGAAAATCTTACCAAAGTCATTTCTTCCACTCCTATATTTACCTTCTGGCAAAAATGACTAAATTATGAATCTGAATATTGTATGAGTAGGTTTTCTATGGAATCCTTAGACTGAGTCAACAGCCACAGACTTTTGATCTAAAGTAATTCAAGCAGTGTGGTAGAAAAGTATACCAAGCAATATCACAACAACCACAAGTTCTTTCTTTTACAAGCAGGCTAGAGTTAAGTAAAATGTCATGTCTCTCAATTCAGCAATATGGGGACAAAAAACAGAGGTGAAGGTGAAAAAAAGTATTAATTTTTCTGCTCAGGTCAATTTTTCTGTCATCTGAAAATATATTTAAAGAATATATTAAATCAAAGGCAAACTATTTTGCTGCATATAGCACTTCAGTTATTTTATACGTAATGCAAAGCCTTTGTCTTGTAAATTAGTAAGTATGTATCAAAACTCTATAAACATCCTTTTTAAGCTTTCCAACAAACGGTTTACTAGGAATTACAAATGGTTTACTAGGAATTCAATAAAATATAGTAGGAGCTCACCATTTCTTTTAATAACACGAGTCTGCTGTTTCACTTGATCAGTTGGAACACCATAAATTTCTATAATCACCAACGTGTCAGCTTTGTTAGAAGATGAGTAATTGCTAGGAGGCAACTGGACACCACTGATGAGCTGGACAAATGTACCAGACACAAGAGCTGAGCAGGACTTCATAACGCACCACCACTTAATTTCAAAATAAAACATTATTCAAAAACATCAATAATCTAAGTTTCCACAAAAAAATTAGAACTGGAAAATAGTACAGATTTTAAAATTTAACTTTTATCCCAATATATCAAATATCAGCAACAAATGTCTAAATTATTCCACTTGACCGGCATATGATTATTGTACAATCTACATGTTCCAACGCTCATGGTTCAACATATAGTTTCATTTCTCCCCTCTGCCCATTTTCATTTTTAAAGTATTTGTCAAGTTGTTAAAAAGCATTGCTTAAAGGCTGTGTTATCATCACCTTCTATGACAATTCAGGCAGAGCTTCTGTGATTGCATGAACTATTTACAAATCAATCTTGTATATATGCAATGTAAACTTGGAAATAGTATGAATAATTCTTAGGAAATGAAAAAAAACATATAATTTCCTATGACTGTATTTTCTGATAGAATTCATACTTTTCATTAATTTATTTTTTTAAGATTTATTTATTTATTTATAAAAGCACTGGGTACAGTCAGAAGCACAGGAGGGTGAGAGAATTCACCAGAGCCAGAGCGGGGAGCAGAACAGGCAGACTGATGAAATACACTGCTGAGGGGAGCAGCGGGTGCTGTAGGAGAGGTCTGCGTGTCATGTGGGACCCTTGCTGGGGGCCAGGGATTGAACCGCACTGCAGAGGCTGTGGGCAGCTTCGCAGCCCAGCGCTCAACCACTGCGCCACCAGGGGAGGCCCACTTTTCATTAATTTATTATAAAAATTTGCATCATCCGTTGTATCACAAAGTAACCTGAATCTGAGAAGATCAATTTTTTCACATGTAAATGAGGGACTGAGTATGAGAAGAATGCATAGGTAATAAATGATAGTTTTATGTTACCTTGTATGATCAAGTCTATCATTCAAACAAAAATTTGTTTTACTTTAAGGAACAAATTCCAAATAAATACAATATTTGAAATGTACCAGTTAGGGGCAAGAAATGGAAGATACAGCTAAAGATGCAACTGTAAAAAACTGAGGCATGATTTCAATTTCTAGAGATTATAGCAAAAGGAACAAATCAATAATCAATTTTGAAAAGAAAAAGAAGGGAGGGAGAGAGGGAAGGAGGGACAGAGAAGGAGGTGGGGGAGAAAGAGAGAGATTATGTCAATGCATAATTTTTCCTTTCTTAAATCCACACATTTTTGACATAAGCTAGAAACCAGAGTGACATTCCAAATACCTAATAACCAATATGGAATGGACATTCCAAGCAGCATAATAAGATATTGGGTAAAATAGAAAGTATTGTGGCCATAAACAACTAGTAAATAGATACCAAAGTCTACCAACTGAACCTAAGTTTCACAAGTACTAGACCTATACCAACATGGAAAAGGCTCAGCTTTGGTGCATCTAGTGCCAAAACAAACAAACAAATATTGTCTAACTTTAAAACAAACTGAATATGAAAACTGAAACAGAATTTAGAGCTTTTTGGTCAAATAACTTGTGCACGCTGAGTCTTCCTAGGATGGATGTCAAGCAGAAAACCCTCTGTTGTCAACCAGAGTGGCTTTGCTTTCATCTACGGCTCTATGCATCATATCTTGAGCTAAGAAAATGGTTCCATGCTTTTTATAAACTTGAAAATAACTTAGTACAAAACTCTCAGTTTGCAGATGACAGAGAGTAAACCAGAAAAACTGAGTGACTGCATCAAGGGCATAAGAAAGCTAAAGGTACAACTTGATCTTTTGATTTCTAAACCATGCTCTTCACAACTTAAGACCTCACGTGTTAATGCCACAAACTTTCCAAGAGTGATGAAGGGAAAGACACTCATGGCCATGACAATAACTTCCTGGACTAGAGAAGTAGACCAAGACCTGATTTAAAAAAAAGAGAAAAAATCAGGAAATCAGGAAATAATTATTAATTAAATGTGATAAGATTAACATCACAGCAAAAAATCACAGGGTCAATTTGTGAAAGATAGATTAGGAGGACTGAGGCAGTTTACCTGAAAGCCACTTAGAAGCCAAAGAAATAGATGTAATGGCAAATGCCTTAAAAAATTACAGCCACAATTGAGATATCAGACCAAGAAAATGGATGTGGGCAACATTTAGGAGAAGGATAGAATTTAAAGGTGGATTGAATATGGGAAGTGATGGAGATAAAGAAGAGAAAAATGGCTCCAATTTTGCCAGCCTGAACTAAGCTAGCCAATTCAGCCCAGTTCAATGAAATTTAAATTAGATAGAAGTAGATTTGACTAGGAAAAGATGTTCAGGTTTTAATATTTTCAGTTTGACAGAACAGTGATTAAATATAGTAGACTACTGTAAAGATGCCTTTATATTCCAAATATGAGGTCATATAGGTTTGAGCATTGTTGCTGTTGAAACCATGAATGTGTATAAAAGAAACAAGGAAAATGTTTAGTTTGAGAAGAGGGTTAAGAAAAAGCCAAAAGTATCATGAATGTTTTCGGGTCAGGAAGAGGAACAGGTAGAGAAAGAGGAACCAAGAAAGGAAATGAAATTATTTGGGAGGAAGCGGGTAAGGAGAGAAGACCACCCCGGGAAGGAAAGCAACAAGACTTGTTTGGAGCAGGAAGGGAACTCAGAAAGTTTATCCTTCCTCCCTAGAACAACTAGACCAGTCATTCTAGATTAAGACCACTAGAACAGTGTAACTTATTGTATTTTTTCGCTCATGCAAAAATGCCACAGCCAGAAATCTTCCAAACATGGAAGGATGTAGAAATACCACCCACCTATACTACCTGAAAAGATTAACAGAAATTTTAAAAGGCATTAAAGGAAATCAAAACATTAATGTAGGCTCTCTAGCTTACATAACAACTAAAAAAAGTAAAGGTTATTTTTTTATATTTAAAAAATTTTTGTATTAAAAAATACAAAATAGATGCCCAAGTTGTAGTAATATTGTAAAGTAAGATTAATGGTGAATGTTACACCCAGCCTTAGAAAGAATGCTAACTAATCAGTTCTTAGCAACATCAATGTCATAAGCTCTTTCTACTCTGCCACTATAGGCTCCTACTTGAGAGTCACAAAATCTCTAACAGCCTGGAGAAAAGTCAGCTTTCATATTTCATCGGCACTATTTCTTGTGGTGGCCAGAATCATTTCCATCCCTTTCATTCTTGCTTATACTCTCCTTCCACATTAATTTCTGGAAAACAGCACTTAAACCTCTCTTTCTCAGTTGGGACAAAAGGTTAAGGTCTGAAGAGGTAGAGAATGGTCCCGCTAGCCCCATGATGCTGACAGTAGAGGAAGGGGCTGCAAGCAGAGGAACTGAGAAGGGTTGGAGCGTTTCCTGTACTTTGACGTTAGGTAGCAGGAACAGAAGAGCCTCTCAGCCCACAGACTGCACTATGTCATAACTTGGACACAGTAAACCTGTACAGGGGCAGCAATTTACCAAAACTGAAAAATCTGAGATGTTTCATGTGGTTCTAGGAGCAGCTAGCTAAATAGAAGAATCAAAAGACCAGACACACCCAATTTATTTGTAAACAACAGGCGCCGATAAAATATGATTACAGTAATCTAAAATACGATTATTTATAATTAAGTGGAGAGGAAACACTAGGGGTTGTTCAAAAGTTTCAGTGATATTTTAAAAAAGAAATAAATATGGCACTAGGTTATAGAAGAATAAAGCTTTTGAAAAGCTTTTACTATTGGAAACAAATTTTAAACAACTATTTTATTCTTGATGAAATTACACAGGGCATAATAAAACAAAAGATGAAAGTTGAAATGATGAGACAGTACTGCAGGGAGGATGCAAGCTAGGATACAGAGAAAAATAAGTAAGCAGCAATATGAGGTAAATAATATTAGGGGAACTAATAACAGGAGAAATAATATATATCTGCATTAGAACCAATAAAGAATGAAATCAAATACAGAGGAAAATCACATGTAGAGGAAAAAGCAAAGTGATAAAGTTGAGATGAAATCAGTAAACATGGAAGACAGATACTCAGGAAAAGCATAGGTATACTTTTCGTTACTAAGTAATCAAATAAATCCTGAATTGCAAAAATATAGTTTTGAAGATTAGTGAAAAACAAACAACCAGAATTTCCTATTAATTTTTTTTAAGTTAAGGAGGAAAAAAAAATACATCTACAAGGTAATTATTTGTGTATTGAATTCTGACTATTCTATCATAATATTAAATGCCTAAAAATAGTAGAATACTATAAATAGACCTTGTAGTTAAAGCAGGTTTTAACCTCAAAATTTCTACTTACAGGCAGGAATCATGCAGAAAGTCATCAAACATTTTTTAGATATGTAAATATGAAATATCACCTCTCTATAGCACTTTAAAAATAGAAATTTAAAAGATATTAAAATTTAAATTTAAATTTTATTGTATACCATCTAGTTTATATAATTTTAAAAAAGGTAAAAGTTTTTAATCTTACCCTTATTGTAAGTGTAACTGGATTACTGTCTATTGGTGCTTTATTTGGATCAAAATTTGATTCAGTATTTCTTAGGAACTCTGGTTTCAAAATATACCCAGAACCACCATTATCTAAAAATTTCCCATTTTGAAGATCCATAGGCAGGCCAGGAGTCTGGAAATTTAAGGCCACTGTGAGAAAAAAAGAATTTTGCCATTGTCAAGAAATAGAGAATACTGCTAAAGAAACACAGTTAAATGATTAACTGAAAACCCAACCATGGCTGATATATCTTCAAACATCTTAAGAATAAACATCATTAGTCAAAAATCTCATTATTTTAAACATTTTCTCCTGCCTTGTCTATATTAACTTATGAAAGTGAGTTTCAAAACTTAGTATGTAATTATATCAGTTTGAGTTAAAAAATCAAAATGGTACACAGAATAGATTATAGTATAACAATGTACATGTCAGATAACATTTAAGAAATATGGGGATAAAGAAAATCAGAACATTAAATGCTGGAAGGGAAGATACCAACTATATCATAAACTTTCAGCTCCAAAGAGGTACTTTTGTCATTTAGGAGAAAGTGAGAAACAGGCATAGCAATGACTGTTGTTAAAATATAGAAATATATCCATATAGGCTGCTAAATAGGCACTGTTTATGCACAGTTTCACCTTCTACCCTACACCACCACCACTCCTGCATATCATCCTGACCCCACTCACTCCCTCCTTGAAAACCTATGGGTGTTTCCACAATTCAGTAGCAGAAGGGGTAACACTGGGCACTTTCTGATGTGCAAATGTTAGTGTTAAACTTGCTGGTCAGTTCAGAATAGGGGGAGTCTGATAAAAACAAATAGCAATCTTAGTCATTTTTCAATAGTATGAATGCAGAATTCAGTGTAGAGTATAAAAGATAGAGTTCACTTCATTTGAAGAAACCTTTATCAAATCCTACCAGCAAAGGACTTGATCTTCATTGTCCTCTCATGTCCAATTTGTTTTCCTTTCCCCATCCTACACTCCCCCTATTAACTATTTATGAATTTTAACCTCAATGCCACCAACTCTAACTTAATTTCCTCTCCAACCCATTTAAGAGAACCTCAACTCTTAAAACCAACAATTCATCATCATTGCTGGACTACAAAACACACAAGGCAAAAAAAAAGTTCATAAGAACTTCTTTACATGAAGCTTTAAGTCATAAGAGATTAATTTTTGCAAAAAAAATCAATCTCTATGTAACTTACCCATTTGACAACCTATATTCCAAAATTCTTGAGGATTAAAATTAGAAGAATCAGTTCTCATTGCTCTAGGATATATTCTGGTTATGAATTTCCTGGTATGAAGAATAAACTCTGGGGCTAAAAAAATATTTCACATAAATGAATTACTATGCCTATACTTATTATATTGATATGTATTATCTTGACAAAAATATTTGCAATTCATAGAAATCAAAATAAATGTCTTTATGTTTAACATTATTCACTGTTATAGAGATGTTAATAATTTTCATTAATTTTATATATACTAATCATTTGCTTGAGGAAAAAAATGACTAGATAACATTCCTCCTATCCTTTTCCTATTCTTTTCCTATTCAATTTCACTTTAATATAAGAATATTTAAAGTTCCAGAATAAAATGCATGTTCAAAAAAAATACTAAAGTAATATTTTTCCCCTTTCATCTTTTTTTCACTTTGGTATCCATATTAGCACAGAAGAGAAAGTATATCACACAAAGATATATGGTGGCAAACAAGTTAATCTAGTTGAATACTTAACAGGCTCTCAGGGTAGAAAGAAATCTTAAAATTATCCAATTGTGATCTAAATACTTAACACCATAGCATCTCCCCAACCCCACCAACAATTCTATTTCTGGTCACCATCCACAGTTGGTTTTTAAAAAGCCCTAAAATATCCAAGATCTCTCTAATAGGTAGTTTGACAAAATGATATTTCAAAATATCCAAGATCTCTCTAATAATTGAGAAAATGATAGTTTATCAAAGCTCCTCGGGCTCCAGAAGCCAGCCCAACAAGGTTAAACAACAAATATGTAAGAATCAGCATCTCCAAACAGCCATCAGCTTTTTTTTTTAAAAAAGATTTATTTATTTATTTATACAAGCACTGGGTACAGTCAGAAGCACGGGAGGGTGAAAGAATTCACCAGAGCCAGAGCGAGGAGCAGAACAGGCAGACTGATGAAGTACACTGCTGAGGGAGCAGCAGGCCCACCAGGAGAGGTCTGCGCGCCATGTGGGACCCTCACCGGTGGCTCGGGATGGAACCAGTATTGCAGAGGCTGCGGGTAGCTTCGCAGCCCAGTGCTCAACCACTGTGCCATCAAGGAGACCCACCAACAGCTTTTTTATGAGCAGTTGCAGATACCGAATTACCTGCCAAGTTATTTCTATGCAACATGGTAAGTTGTTATTTTCAGATGTTTAGATGTTAATGTTTTAGAAGGCTTTGGAATCACCTGAGTGTTGAGTTAATTGCCCATCCCTTTTAATTTGAGGATATTCCTTGCCACATATATCTATGAAGGAGGAAAAGTCTGTTTCCCATTCTCTTTCTCAAGCAGGTCTCTTGCATTTGGGCTCTACCAAACAGAATAACCCACCTCAGATTTAGACTCAAAAGAGAGTGAAAAGAAGATTAAGACAAAAGGTATATCTACACACACAGCACAGTCATCAATTAGTCTGACCTGGGTGGTATCTCTTGCTCCTTTCACCACAGACATCGGCTTCCAGGTCTATTTGACTCTGACTCAGATGTCTACTGAATCCACATAGCTCACCCTCACTCTATTCTCACCATTGTCAGATTCATCACCTCTTCCCTGCTTACAGCCTTACCTCCTGCTGTATCTCAGACAACTTTCAGAAACACACAGGGGCTCATGTGACACCTGAAATTTCACTCTTTATCCTGTTCATCTTTGATTCAGGACAACTTGACTTGCAAAAGTTCCTTGCCATTAGGATCTTCCTATTTCTGCAGCCTTGTCACTCAACTCACTGCATCCCCACCCAGCAAAGTGTCCATACTAGATATCCTCAGTCAAAATTTCCTGAGTTAAACAAATTAATGGTTGAGTTTTATAAAATACAACTTAATGTCACCTTAGTCATATATTGTCTTATTAAATATAATGTTAAATAAAAATATCATGATAAAATAGTGGTTTTTTTTAAATAAATATTATTGACCAATCTTAATACCAGAGCAATGAATACAACTTCATCTATTTGAATCATGAGAATTTACCTCTCAACTTGCAAAGTTTCCGGGCTTGTGTCTCCCCAATAGAATTAGTTTCATTAAATTGTTGATATAGTTTTGAATGTTGAAAGCTTCTGAATTTCTCAGCTTTAGTATAAATGACAAGATCAGATAAGGCCAGAGCCACTTTTCCCTTTGAAGTGTGAAATAAAATGCCACAATTTCACATTTTTGCACTGATCATTGAAAACTTGCTTTTCCAATAAAGAAAATATGCTATCACATCAATGATTTTATTTTTTATATCTCCTAAAAATATTTTTATGGGTTTTTAATGAATATACTGCTTAATGTTAATATGAGATCAGCTAAATCTAAAATGCCAATTAATGTAATAGGTATGGAAGACAATTGTAAATATTTCCTTTCTCCGCAGATCTCAGTTAATTCTCATAAATTTTATAAATTTAGGAATTTTGGTCATGACTAAGTATGTTCTCAGTGTGATCAATTATTTTGGGATAACTTCTGTATACTGTACATTTGCTCGTTTACAGCCCAGCATCTATAACCTATATTCCTCTGTTAACCCCTCTCCATGGTTTGTTTCTAGGAAACATTCTTTTTCAAGCTCAGGCAATGTGTTTAAGTATCATAAATGTAGCTGGGGACTAGCTAATCAGCTTTGCACCACCCTGGTGATAGTGGTTCAGGGATTTGCACAAATCTGGAGCATAGTCACTGAACATAAAGAATTTGTTTGGTGAGCCGAGAAATAGCTAAGCCCACCACTGCATTTGAACCTGAAAGTATATGAAGCCAAAGCTTTGCAAAGTCTTGTATAAATAAAGAGAAAGTGAGACCAAAGTTGGCGAAAGAAATTTCTGCAAGCTTTGCTTGTTGTATTACACAAAGTAGTTCTTGAAATTATAATCCCTTTCCCTGAATTTTGTGTTTATGTGGGCCAATTAATTAATTCACATTTTACTTAAACCAGATGAAATGGCTTTATATCACTTGCAACCTGATATGCTTTTTAATTATACTAATTGATATGCTCATAGTACTGTGTATGATAAAGTGATGTTCTTGTATTTGACAGTATGATCTCCTTGAGGGCAGGAACATTATGTTGCTTATCTCTACCTGTATGCTGCACAGTACCTTGCATATAAGATGCTTAATATTTATTGACTATAGAGAAAAAATTTAAAAACAATTCACAAAGAGACAACTGTTAAAATTTTTTCCACTACAAATTTTTCCAAACAAATTTTAAGTAATAGAATTTCCAGAAAGAGGAAAAAGATTTTTCCACCCCCCCACCCCACATTTTTAAATTCTTAATAACAAAATAAGATACCTCTTAATCATTTATTAGATTTTCACAAAGCAGAAATCTCACCCTCTTTTTCCTGAAAAGTGGTAATCCAGCTGAACTTGATTCTGCTTGCTTTACTAGACTATATTCCAATTCTTTAATTTTGTAGTCTTCCTCCTCTTGATCCTCCTCTTCTTCATATTCCGCTATCTGACCATGTTTATTATAACCTTTCCTTTCCCGGGTTTCTTTTAAGGTTCCCATTTTCTTATTTTTAACTAATATTTTAAATTTTAATGCCTATAGAAACAATATGAAAGAGAAATACAGTTACACATTTACAGGTTAAGTTTGCATTTGTGACAGTAATTGAAAAGTCTTTTGTTGTGTTTTCAATTAGTCCACAGTAGCAAGATGTGCAAGAGTTCTATCTTTTTCACACCCCTATAAATACTGTGATAGATCCAGGGACATTATTGATGATACTGATAAAAATTTACCCCAAATAAGACTATTGTGATTGTGACTGACTGTAATTTCATTTCTCTTACATTCCTTACATGACTACAGTTCACATTAATTAAAATACTTGAAAAGTGTTTATAGGGACACATTAAAATACTAGCAATGTTACAGAGGTTAGACTATTACAACTTCTGGTAGTTATACTGTGAGGTCATTACTCTCTTATTACAAAGTATTACATGGCATCAAGTGGGTAGTATTATCTATAGCAATATCACATAGACTGAGTTTAAATGAAAGATTAGTAAACAACCTTCACATCTCAACTGAATGACACAAAAGCATTGTAACAGGGTGGTCCCCAGGAAAGGGGGAGGTTCCAGGTTCCCTGCCCCACCCAAATGGAGGGTGGAGCTGAGCAGGAAGAGAAGAGGCTGCAGAGGAGACTGAGGAAGGAAGGAAGCAGGATGGACCCAGAAGGAGACCTGGAGGAGGCGCATGGAGCCTAGAGACACGTGAAGAAACTGCACTTGTCTTTTGGTCGTGGACTGGGTGACACAGATGTGGGTGAGACCCGTGGGGAGGTGACAATGGCAACTTTTATCTTGATTTTGATTTTGCTCTTTTCCTTCCAGGCTTGTCTGGTTGTTTCTGACCCTTTTCTGTGGATCCCCACTAGAAGATACTTTAGACTTGTGGCAGGCTCTGGGGCCTTGCTCTGGGCCGATCCCATATGGATGGACTTTTACCCACGAGGGGACAGGTAACTTTGGGTGCTTCATTTAGAAACTAGACTCTTTGCCTTTCCTGTATTGTTTCCTAGTTTTATTAAAGTTCCTTCCCACTAAAGTCTCATATGTTTTGTGTTGATGCGGCGGATGGCAGAACCCATTTAGAATAGGCAGGTTTGCAGGGTTTGGGCTGCCCCTCTCCCTGCCCTGTAACAGCATCACCAACATAATAGTTCCTGTCCACCAAAACTAGGAACATAACAAAATTCACCACCAGGGTCACTTGTTCTAAATCCAAAGCTTTCTTGTTCCCTTTATGCCCATAGTTATTCCTTTCCTTTTCAAATATTTACTACCTTATCAAATATACTTATTAAGTGACTATTATGTTGTATACAATGCTGCTGAAATCTGTATTGTGAAGTAAATTTCTTTCCTTCAATCTGATTGCTCCTTCTCTTTGTCATCCTCAGGTACCCACTTCCACTCCCCATCACCTCGGGTCTTCTCCTTTCCCCACCACCCTTCTATTGCAGAGTGCAACTACCTTTATCAAAAGCATCACCCAGAATGCCTGTTAAAGGGAAAAAAAAAAAGAGTGCCTGTTAAAGGAACAGATAACTCAGATCTACTTCAAATTTAGAGATTCTTGTTTAGTGGAACTGGAATTACGTGTGTTAAACAAGTCTGCAGGCATTCTCTTATACACTGAAGACTGAGTGCAGTATGACAAAATGACTTCATCTCTAATGCTTCATTTACTCATTGGAAAGTGTCTCCTAACTTTATATCATCATATATCTCTGACTGCTAAAAGACAGACTTATAAGTAGTAGGAGGGAGGATTCCATTCCTAGAAAGCTAAACCTTTTTATCATTTCTGTATTAGACCATGACTCTTATATTAAATCTTTAATGATATTTTGCTGGCATTTTGCATAAGTTCTTAAATATTTCTCTTCTGTCAAAGCTGGACACATTTAGTGAGTGACCAATTCTATAAAGTCCAAGAGCCACAGTTTTGTATTTGTTCAATCTATTTTTTGTCCATTTTAATTCTATCATGATTCCTATACTTCTTGTTATTATTATCACAATACTTTAAATTGTCCATTTAAATAAAGACAAATATAAAGTGAAATATTCAGATATAAAAACATATAAAACACATTGCTCTATCTAATGAAAAAATGACATGTCAAAACTAAACTACTGGGTTGTTGGACACTGTTAGCATGTAAGAAAAGAAAAAGTTCACTTATCAGCTGATAAAACTTAGAGCCAGTGAAGGAAACTAAGGGGGAATGGCCAGAGTGGAATGGGGAAAAGTAAAGAATATGAAGCTCAAGGATAGTGTTTCAAGGAAAGGAGGGAGAGTTCCATGGTAGTGAATGCCATACAGGGAACAAGTCAGATGAAGACTGACACAGGTCCACTAGAGTTTACTCGAAGGAAAGCCACTGATGACCATTAGACACTGACTATGGTGCAGGTGTAAGAGAAAGACTGATGGGTAGGTTGCGAGGAGATGGAAATTTGGCCTGAGACAGGGATTAATAAAACAAACAGCTAGCTGGAGAGAGAACTGAAATCCTAAGAGTGGGGGTATTTTTTTAAATCAAATACTTGAGTATCTCAACTGAAGATAGAAAGGGACCTGTAGACACAGGTTAATAGAAAAGAGGGAGGAAAACCTGCCACTCCAGTACTGAGGGATCTGGCAAGGACTTTACTGATAACCTAGGTCATTGCCACTTTCTCAGTCTTTTGCCTATTAAAAAAATATGAAATTCCTATATTCTTATATTAACAAACTTGAAATTCTGGCTTCATGGGATATGATACACAGTGAAATGTGAGGTTGTACATACATATAGCTCCATTTTCTCTTTATCAAAATATATTCACCTAAATGCTCACAGGAACATTTCCCAGGCAACACACTGTAAAGATACACTTCTATAAATAATCAAAACTACCCATTTCCACTGATTTCTAGCTCAGTCTTAAAGGCCAATACATAGTGACATACTTTATCTTCTTTTTTTTTTCATAACCTGAAGTTCTCAAACAAAATGTTACCTCTGGGGAAGGTAGCTTGTCTGGAAAATCATCAAGCATATCAGAAAGCAAGGCATCTCCAAAAATAGATTGCAAATTGTCTGCCATCACTTCTTGTTGGGAAGGGGAACAATGATTTTCTAAAGAGAGCACCACCGGGTAGTCAGATGTCTAAAAAATTAACCATTACTACAGTTATTGATCAGAACAACTCAACAGCTATAGTGCAATTAATAGAAGCACTTAATCAGTATTAAACCTACATTTAATGTTTAGTACCTTTGCTAAATAAGTACTCTTTAAATAAATTATTTTTGAGTTTATATAAAGAAAAATTCATATTTTGGGCATCCCTGGTGGCACAGGCAGTTGAGCACAGCACTGTGAAGCTGTCCGCAGCCTCTGCAGTGCCGTTTCGATCCCTATCAGCCTCGGAGCAACCCACATTGGGCGGCAGACCTCTCCTGTCTTGCCCGATGCTCCCCTCAGCAGTGTATTTCGTCAGTCTGCCTGTTCTGTTCTTTGCTCTATCTCTGGAGAATCCTCCCACCCTGGCCTGTACCCCTGCTCTTGTATAAATAAAATAAATAAATCTATCTTTAAAAAAAAATTAAAAAAAGAAAAAATCATATTTTGTGGATATTTGGCATTTTATAGTGTAATTCTAATACACTAGAGAAACTGATTCAGATCTGTGATTTTAAGCTTGTGTTTACAAATAATTTATTGACTTTGGGGGAAACATTAGGGTTATCAGATTTGTAAGTTTAACATTGCTTAAATACTGATTTTGTTAGATCAGTTTAACTATACTATAATGGATGTACTTAAGAACAAAATCAAATATACTAAGTTTACCAAATAATTTTACATGTCTGCACGTACTTAACTAGTCACAGTTGGAAATGGGACCAAGTATTATTCAAAAACGAGTGATTGTTAAAATCTTCTCATTTCATATACTAGGATTAATAAACTGAAGTTAGAAGTTCCAGAAATAATCCAGATCTTTGAATCAAAAGTAAATTTCTAAATGTCCTTTGCTACATGAATAGCTGTCATCATATTCAAATTATCAATAACTGAGATAGTACATTTCTGACATATTTTTGTGTCTTAAAGCAAAGTAAAATAGTAGAATATTGGTAAAATATTTACTATTATAAAGACCAGTATTTTCAAACTTTTTTGGCCATAATTAGGATCAGAAAATGTATTTTTCCTTGTGACATAACATACACATATTATATATATTTTATAATTAAAAAAGAAGTTTCATGAAATATGTTAAAATTAAGTGTAATAAAGTTACCTTGAACTATATACTTCTATATGGATACTGTATGCTACATATATACTATATTCTGTATACTATATGCTTTAACTACATGGATTTCACTGCCCATAAACATATCATATCCAAAATTTGAAATATTACTGAACCCACCCAAATTTCCTCTTTCTTCCCCAACCTCTCTTGTCTTAACTAGACTATTTAAGTTAGTGTCTGAAGCCACATGGGTAAGTTGCTCAGTTATACAGGTCTCTCCCACATATACAGAAGGTATACATGTTATCATTAAAAATTCTCATTGACTTTTTCTTTTACAAAAAGATAAACACATAAACTTAGGTGATGCATTACAGGATTTTGAAACAAGTAATTTATAATAAGTTTAAGTAAGTATAATTTAACAAAGACATGCACATACTAGGAATGCATATTTCTGTATCGCTTGGATAACAGTTTTAAACAGAAGTTTGCTGGTGAAGGTGTAACCATGGTAAACAACAGGTTCATTTTGTGATCCATCCCAGCAGTCAATTTCCAGACATCGGCATCCCTTCACAAGAGCACTGACAAAATTTGATAAAAATAAATGGTCATTCTGGGATCACTAAACTGGATACCGTAGTCTCAAAATATTCCAGAGACTACTGATGATTTTTCAATAAAGGCATAGATGAGTCCATAATAAAAACAAAGTGTTCCACTGAACTAACATAATTCTTCTTCTCTGTGAGCACAGCCTGACATACCACTGTCATGTGCTGGCTGCAGAGGACTACCAGCAAGATGTGTAGAGCTGTGGATTCTAACACCCACTATTTCTACCCATTCCTTACATGCTAAGTTCTACAAGGGCAGGAATTAAAACTTCAGCCCCATATAAACATGTTTGATATATAGTTTATGAACAATAAATAGTGATTAGTTTTATACCAGAAAAATGGGAACTATGATGTATAAGAAGAAAAGTAGAAGGCAGATAGAGATCCCTAAACTGCAATCTTGGAAGAGAGAGAATTGGAAAATAAAAAGACAGGTAACTTGAAACCCCAGGATCCTAGATTTGATACTTGTTTTTCAAGAAGGAAGTCAAAGTAGCCCCCTGCCATATATGAAGGCATTTTTCTCATACAAAACCAAGTTAATACCAGTTTTCTGAGAAGTATATAAAATTAGCACAAGGTCTCTAGGCAGTGGCTCTGTAAGAACAATTTTAACTCCCCACAGACATTTACCAATGTCTGGCTACATTTTCGGCTGCTACAATTGGAATGGAAGGAGTTCTGCCACCGGCATCTATAAGGTAGGGGTTAAACCGTCTACAATACACAGGACCAACTCCCCACAACAGAGATTGATCTGATCCAAAATGTAAATAATTTGAAAAACCCCACCCTAAGCAATAACAATCTGGTGTGATCCCACTACCTAGTGATTGATATATAATCAGCTTTTCTTCCCAACAGAAACACACACTACCAAACATATGTGAAAGGCCATATGTGAAAGTAAACCTTTTAGATCTGGTACTTCTTTGGGGATCATATTTAGCACGCTTTCTACAGAGAAGATTCAAGCAGTATTTAGGTAAGACTGTAGTGAAGAAAAGATAAAACAATTATGACATTGAAGTTAATGTGCTGAATTCAGGGGAAAAAAAACCTTTCGCCCCTTTGGAATAATACAGATAGAAGGAGGTAGGGGAAGGGAACGCATGAATCTCATCAATCTTAGAGATTTCACCAAAACTGGACAAAATATAAAATTATTTAGAAATTCTTGCTGAACATTTTTTGAGTATGCTTTCTATGGCGATATTTGCACTTTTTAACTGCATACTGCTTGTTTCAGGATGTAGTGATGTACTATATTTCCATTGGTGAATAAGGTGAACAACTGTAGGTACAATTCCTAAATTGGGCTATATTTGTAGAATTCATAATGAATATATTTCTCAACTCATAGTTTTATTTACATATTTAGATTTTAAGTTGGGAAAGCACGTGGTAGCGTGGCCTAGAGGTCTAAGGCGCTGGATTAAGAATCAAAATCTAGTGGTACATATACACAATGGAATATTACTCAGCATTCAAAAAAGATAAACACATGCAATTTGCAGCAACATGGATGGCGCTGGAAGGGATCATGCTCAGAAAAATAAGCCAGAAAGAAAAAGATAAATACCGGATGGTCTCACTCATAGCAGGAATCTAGAAAACCTAAATAAGGGACCAGGAAAAAGAATAACTGTAAGAAAGAAAAAAGCAAAATCAACAAACAACTATGAACCAGAGACACACTGGGGGGGGGGCAGGAAAAGGAGGGATTGGGGTCAAAATAAGGGGGTTGCAATTGTATGGGAAATATAAAAATAAAATTTAAAAAATCAAAATCTATTTGTAACATTTGTTAATTGCCATGAAAGAATATCTGTTTCACTTCTCTCAGTTGACTGTCAAAGTAAATTGTCTTGCACTTTTTATCAAAACAAAATATCAGTTCTCTGGGCTTGTACCAGCAAACATTCTTGAACTCTCTGCTAGGAAAAAAAAAAAAAACCTACTAAAATCTCAGCTGTGGAAGAAAACTCATGCACTACAGACTAAATAATATTGATCCTTGCTATTTCTCTAGTTTTATTTTTATCACCAGATCAAGTCAACCATCATCAAACTATTTATTTTTACTACATAGTTTGGTCCCCAGCAAAATAATCTGACAGAGTTGCACTGTTTCATACCAACCCCTGTTATTCAGAGACAGATAAGACAAAGGCATGCCTTCTCCAGTGATGTTGAGGTCACTTTCCACTATTTCACATGACTCCACTTTTTGAATATGAGTAATGGAAATTTCTTTCTCGCTAAGTAAAGAAGTATGTCCCTTAAAAAGTTTAAGGGGCTTTTCTTGGATTAAAATATTTAATATCAGACCATTAATATTAGTTTTCCTCTCTTAATGACGAGGAAATAAAAACACAAAGAGGCTGTATCTATTCACATAATTAACAAATGAGGGAAAGGGAGAAATGATCAACATCAGAAAAATAAATATTAAAAGGCATGAATTACAATATGCCACCTCTGAAGAGTAGAGAAGTTTTGAAAGACTTGCAATCAGAAAGTATATCTTCCCAAAGGGGGAGGGGGTGTCTTCCACAAGTAAGAAACAGAGGAAGAAATGCAATTAAATTCATATTTGATTTTTAGTTTGGAATAGTTCTGGGAATGCAAAAATTTTCTGTATTTCTAAACTAAAATCTATATTATATTTTTAAAAGAACTAAAGAAATAAAGCATGAGTAGAACTTTCTAGAATGAAAATACGGTCACGAATTAGACTATAATTACAGAATTTTAAATGGATACATTACTGAGTTTAGACTCCTGAATTAGATTTTAAATAGTGAAAAGTAGTATTTATTTGTAAGTTTAATATTATGGGATTATTAGATACCTTTTCTATAGTTTTAAGTAATATCCTATCACATGGCTTTGAATACCACCTATATTCTGGCAACCTCCAATTCTATTTTCCCAGCCTGGATATCTCTTCTAAGATCCTGACTATCTGATACATGTAACTGACTATCAGACCTAGCCCTTTGATAACCAATTAATATCTCAAATCGAACTTGGAAACCACTAAACTCTTGCTGCTGACTCACAGCCTACAATGTCTCCTCTCTCAGGCTTCACCACTATGTTTTTCTTAGGCTAAAATAGTTTGATATTTTCTTTTCCCCATTCCTCTCTTCAAATCGCCTGATTAGTGTTGTTGGCTCAACTGCTTTAAAGTATTTCAAATTCAACCACTTATTCAACTACCACCTCAGGAATTCACCATCTAAATAATCATCATCACTTAGGCTACTTGCAAGATCTTCCCAAATCATTATCTACCTCCACACATGCACCATGAATCTCTACACTATGGTAAAATGTAAAACAGTTATGACATTATCCTAAAGATCCCTCCAATGGCTTCCCAAAGCATCTGGAATAAAATCCATTCTCCTTTCCATAGTCCCTGAGACTGTCATAAACTGATCATCAAACTCACCACTTTTCATCCTCCATTTACATGGTTCCAACCACATTTGCTGTCTTGCTCTCATTTAAATATGCCAAGTACTTACAATTTAGTCTACTTAGCATGCTCTTCCTACCAGATCTTTCTGAGGTTTCCTCTTATTCATTACTTAGACCACAATAATGTCATCTTCTGAGAAATCTTTTCTGAACCTTTAATGTGACACCCTCCAACCCCAGAGTTACTTCCTATTACATTACCCTAGTTCATCTTCTCTATATGACCTGTTAGTCCATGAAATTATCAACATATACTTAAGATCAATTAGCCCCATGATTTCTAAACCAAATCAAAATAAATACCTTATATATCCCCAAAGATCACTTGGTCCCAGAAATTGGCCAGATACCAAGTATGTATTATGTGAACTTGAAATAAAATAATCATTTAATGGATGAGTCATGTCCTGGTAAACTTTCTCACATTCATTTTTAAATAGAAGACATTCAGGTGAACCAATGTATCTTGTAAAACCTTCAAAGGACATCTGGCGTGCTTTCTTAACTGTAAAAATAAATTTAAAAGGATACAGAAATATTATTAACTGCATAAAAAGTACATCTCATTTTAAAATTTATTTGGTAACAGTACATTTCTAAAATATGCATCTATAATTAATGTCAATGCTAGTCCTAATTTTTCTTTGGAAAAACAATTTTTAATGAATGCTCTAGTTCTATCTAAACATAATAATGTGCCATTTAATAAGTATCTGATTTTTAAATGTTATGTAAAACATATATGAGAAGACTAAATATATTATAGATCAATAAATCTTAAGAAATTAAACATCAAGTGAAACAGCACCTCCATCAAAGAACAGAACATTATAGCCTGCTTCTTGCTAACTTTACAATCTCTCTCCCCCACTCAAGTGGGGTCTGGCTTCTAATAGCATAGATTAGTTTTTTCTGGGTTTTGTGCTTTGTATGAATGAGTTCATACAGAATGTATTTTTTGTGGCTAGTTTAGTTTGCTAGTCATTGTTTCTAGGATTTATTCTCTTTTTATAAAAGATCTATTTATTTATGCACACAAGAGCTGGGGTACAGGCCAGAGGTGTGGGGGGTGAGGGGATCCACCAGACACAGAGTGAGGAACAGAACAGGCAGATCGACCAAAGTACACTGCGGAGGGGAGCAGGGGGTGAGCCAGAGAGGTCTGCTATGCCATGTGGGTTGCTCCCTGGCTGGCCAGGGGTTCAAACTCATGCTGCAGAACCTGCGGACAGCTTCATAGGTTGCGTCTTAACCCCCTGCACCACCAGGAAGGCCCTCTGGGATTTATTCCTAGAATTACATATAATTCAACATTGTTTTTTCCCATATAGTATTGTATTCCACTGCATGTGTGCACCACAGTGTACTTACTTATTTACTATTTACTTATTTACTATTCTACTCTTGATGAACATTCAGATAATTTCCAATTTGAGTCTATTGTAAAGAATATTGTTATAAGCAACCAATATTTGTCCTTTAATGGAAATATGTGCACATTTCTGTAGGATGCATGCCTACAAATGGAATTGCTGGGTTGTTTGCATATTACCATTTTTAGTAAATTATCTCTGAATTTTTTTTACTGAATTCTTTATACTCAGCATGATATTCCAAAATTATTTTCTAAGCAGAATACTGGCTCTGGAATCAGATAGCCTGAGTAGAATCCATCTGCTTATAACAAACATGTTAGTTAACCTTTTGCTATCTTTGGAATGATGATGATCATAGCATCTATTCCTATATACTAGCTCTATAAATGTTAGTTGCTGTTTTTCTTGTGCTTGAATTCAGTTTGTCTCAAAATAAAAGTTGGTGTGAGTATTCATTTTAGTGAGAAATCCTTGGTAAAGATTTTATTTCTCGGAATTTGTACTACAGAAATGAAGAGTCACACTAAGATTGATGTGCAAGAATGCTCACACTAGCATTATTTATAAATGCAAATTAAATGAGAGAAGGAAACAAATGAAAACTCAAAGCATGATACAATACTAAGTAGCCATTTAAAATAATGTATCAGAAAAAAAATATGCAGTGACATAAGGAAATGTTTATGACATTATAAAAGTGAAAAAGTCACCATTTGAGATGCTATTACAATTTTGCTTTTAAAAAATAAATGCTAGGGGGCCTCCCCTGGTGGCGCAGCGGTTGAGGCTGGGCTGCGAGGCTGCCCACAGCCTCCGCAGTGCCGGTTCGTTCCCTGGCAGCCGGTGAGGGTCCCACAAAAAAAAAAAAAAATGCTAGGAGAAAATACATAAAATGTATATAGGCATGCAAGCTATCTCAAAGTCATGCACATTTAGGAATTTATGGGGGAAGTTCATCATATATTGTAATAGTAAGGATTTGCATAAAAATATTCTTCAGCGTTTGCCATACAGTCCTTTTGAACTATTGAACAATGAATTAAATATCTTGGTAATAGAGTAGAAAAATTAATTTTTGACCCTAAAAACTACCAGATTGAGATGAGAGTTAATCTCTCAGATTTTTAAAAGCCTCATTTGGTTTACATTATATTCCAATGTGAGATGAGATTGAGGAACTTGGAAGCATTTGGGACTATAAGAACATAATTCAAACAGGCCTTAATAAGTTTCTAATATTTTCAACAGTCAGGTAAATGAAAGTATGTGATACAGGGAAAGTTTCAAAAAATGGAAAGGTTGAATACTGTGATTTTATAGTTAAGTGCAGACACAATTTTAAGATGTCACTGCCTCCATGTCACATTATCCCTTTTAATTTGCCACCTGCAAATAACAGTGCCAAAGGAAAAAAAAAGTTGGAATAGCCCCTAGATCAGCACTACTGAAAGTGCTTGTCTGTGAACTGGTTGTTTCCAGTCAGGGAAGACATAAAAAGCTTGAAGAGTTTGAGCCAGAACATAAATCAAGACTTCCTTAGAGAGTGCTAAAGGTGTTTTACATTCTCACGCAAGCTCTTTATCTTGCTGCAAACCTGCAAAGGTGTTTAGTGATCAGCCCAAACCTTACTAACACTGCATTTGATCTTACCACCACAATGCTTAAAGCTTACATGACAATGAATCATGAAGCCAAAATGAAGCCAAGACTCAAGAAGATTTGATCCCTGCCTATCGCTGCAAATTCACCTTGCCCTCTCTCTCAAACTTCTAAACACACTGTGCTCCTCCTGCTCCCTGAATTCTCCAATTCAGGTCCAATACTTCTCTCAACTTCAGACACTTCTCCCACTTTGGCGCATGACTGGTTCTGTTTTGTCACTTGGGTCCCAGCTCAAAAATCACATCCTTAGGGGCCTACCTAGTGGCGCAGCGGTTGAGGGCTGGGCTGTGCCAGCGTGGGTCCCACATGGCGCATAGACCTCTCCTGCGGCTCCCGCTGCTCCCCTCAGCAATGTATTTTGTCAGTCTGTCTGTTCTGCTCCCTGCTCTGTCTCTGGTGAATTCTCTCACCCTCCTGTGCTTCTGACTATACCCAGTGCTTGTACAAATAAATAAATAAAACTTAAAAAAAAAAAAATCACATCCTCAGAGAAGGCCCTCCTAAACGCACTACCTGAACTGGACCTCCTAGGTGTTTTACTATCACTTTCTCTGTTTTAATTTTTTTCACAGCTACTCAGAATTATCCTTTTATATGTTTGTCTACTCTCAATCATCCCCCAGTCACCATCAGGAATATAACTGTCTTGTTTTCCACTGTATCCATAGCCCCTAGAACCATATTTAGTAAAATAAATAATTCTTTGAATAAATTATAATTACTTGATTAAGTTAGGCCTACAGAGGAATAAGCTCAGTTTTGTTAGGCCCTATGTAATGATATGTCAGTAGGAAAATTAATGAATCTTCAAAAGCAGATCATGGCCTTTCATATATCCATTGTTAAATATTTTTATCTATCCTATTGATTTCAGTAAGGTAGACAATGTGCTTTAACAGTGCTTTTTATATTATTATGTGTAATTTTTTATGTATTTATTATTTTATATAAAAATGAGCATAAGTGAAAAAACTGAAGGGTTTTATCCATTGAAAAATGGACCAAAGATCAAAAATTTTATGACATCTTAATGTCAGGTTCATTTAATGTAAGCCAAGCCAAATGGCTGCATTCAAAAATGAAGGAAAAGCAATTTTATTGCTTTTTTAAAAAGTTCATAAGATGTTGTAGACAATTATGCAGACAGTAGAGAAACTGGTGAGTTTGTAATACTTTCTTTCCTAGAACTGCTACCAATTAGTTCATTTAATTGCCATATTTTTTTCAATAATAAAATGCATAAACATGAAAGATGTCTGTAATGGGTTTTATATTAGCAATGATTGTCAAGGCACTTCCTTCCATTTCATGCAACAGAACTCTCATGCTGTCCACACCTAAGTTCATCTCTGAACACCTAAGGGATATACAGAAGCAATTAGAAGAAACGGGCTGGACGGTGCTAAAGGAAGAAAGTCATGGTCACACAATGAAGCTTTCCTAAAGGGGAAACACAAAAATAAAACTGAAGAAATATGACCGAGCCAGAAATTTGAAAATGATAATTATAAGTCATAAAGTACTTTGCATATAAATATTTGATAAAACTTTGAAATACATGCATACCTTCTTCAATAGGCTCATATTTTTGAATGATCTCAGAAGCATTTTTACTGCTTTTATTGCTATCAAGTAAAAACTGCTCTTGTACCAAAAATTTGACCAGATTTCCTTCAATTAGAAATTTCCTGTTTTCAGCATATGTGTTGAAAATCTCAATAATTTCTTCTCTGTGTGTCAGAACTCGATAAATTGCTCTAAATTCTTCTATGGTAATTCTTCCTTGCTTCAGTCTGTCATTATTCTACTAAAAAAAAATGACTGGTGGGTTCACATTATGAATATAAAAAATACACAGAATGAATGAGTATTTGTGTTAATATATATATAGCTTCTTAGGTTTAAAAGATAAATCATACATTAGATTTTATTTAAAATAAAATTGCATGAAATTACATCAAAGTTGGGAAAAGCTTGGTGTCTCATCCCTACTTGAAATTCAGTGACTATAACAGGAGTGGAAGGAGGGATGGGGAAGGTGAAATCTAAGTTTGTCTTATAATTATACAATTATTCTATTCCACTCTATTTCTTCACTTTCTTAAGGGCAGTATGGGATCATATGCCACCAATATACAGCCAATACCATAGTTCTCAGAGTATTTACTAAACCCATTTAAAATTATTGTGGACTAGAGAAACTGCAGTGGTATTATAATACCTTGAGGAAGTGGAACCTGAGTGATCATAGGGTAGGAACAAACAAGATATGTTCCAATGAAAATGAGTGAATTCATCTGGCTGTTCAGGAAAACTGTTTGAACTTTATGAGCTAAAGAGAAGAAAGTGGGCTGGGCCCAGTTATTTAAAGAAACAGAGCTACTATGAGGTTCCAAGTAGGAAATAGCTAGCAAAAGTAGAACTTCAGCAGGATTAATTGTGTGTTACTAATTGGAAGATATGGAGAACTATAGATCGGAGAACAAAGATGATGCATTCCAAGTGGGAAGTGGTGAATAAAAACAAAATAGGTATCAGTGAAATTATTAAGGGAGAAGTCAGAAGAATTCAACACATTAAATTTTAGATGCATGAGAGAGAGAAGTCAGGACTGTCTTGAGTGGGGGTAGGGGAGAGTTGGAATAACTAGCAGAATCACTTACAAATAAAAACCGAGGCAGTCAACTAATCTAAATCTTTACTCTTATTACATTATAAACAGCTTGAATACAAACAGCTTGTGTTGCAGGGGGTATTGTGGTGAAAAGCTGACAATTTGGAGACAGACGGAGCTTACATATTCCTAGCTCCAAAGTACATGGAACTTCAGGCATATAAATTAAATTCTCTGAACTTCCCAGTCTTCATCTGCAATGTGGGGATAGATATCATTACCTACAGGATACCCAGGATGCTATGAGGACTGGGGATATACAATAAATGCCAAGTCTAGATATGAATGTATTGTTTTGTCTTATCAATGTTTGCTTCCCTCATACCATCTAGCCTAGTGTCTTATATTTTGATGTTTTCCTATAAAGTGAATCCTTAGGGTACCACAGGGAATGAACGTGCTGGAAATGATCTCTTTATTTCATGAAAAAATTTCAGTGGCAATTACCAGGTAGTTTGATATAAAGGAATCAAGAAACAATCTGAGTTGAAAACCAAATGTGAAGAGCAGCATGTCAGTTCAAAGTGGAGGATTAATCCATTTACATGGAGGAACTTGAAGAAGCAAAGACTGAAATTAAAGGCCAAAGTGGGAAAGAGATGGAAATATACTAGATAGAAAAGGTGGAATATGTAGTTAAATGAAAAGTTGGAAAAGCAGTGTTCATGAAACAATAATAGCTCCTTGAAACTATGTGATCTGAAAGTAATCCACAGTATCAGTGTTCATAGTAAACTTAAAAAGATTCAACTTACTCCTTTTAAATTCTGGATTTTTAGGTCCATAGAAGTGAATATTACAGAATTGTTTTATTTTAGTCCCATCCTGTCATGAGACCTTCAGCAAGTCAACAAAAAACAATATGTAACCGTCATTCCTAAAAATTTTTAATAAAACTATCTAAATTCAAGACAACAGTTCTACAGAGTAACAGCAGAAAATAAAATATGCCTTATTCACTAAGTAAAGAAAGTTCTATTGCTTTCAAGCAGAATATAAACTACTTGACCAACTGAAATGTTTTACTGTGGCAAACAAAGAGACAGTCCTTGACTGGCTAACCCCCACAGTCCCAGGACAAGTTATGGAGGGAGTATACAGATAAGTCCATGTTCCACACCTTTAGAACAGTAAGTTTTGGCACGCCCTCGGTGATTGGGAGCCACAAGAATGAAGAACACTGCCTGGACATTCACAAAGGATTGAGATCCAAACAAGAGGAAGGGCTGAATTATAAATAAAGTTGGAAATAAAGTTCATGTCCTACAGAAGATGACTCCTTTAAGACTGGGAGAGATGGTTGCTCTATCTAATGTATGCAAACCAACATAAAGCATAAGAAAGTCAAGGAAAAGGAACAAACAGAAGAATAGGTTCCAAATGAAAAGAAACAAAAACCTAGAAACAGACCTAATGAAACAGAGATGTTTGATTTACCTGATACACAGTTCAAAATAATGGTCATAAAAATGTCCCCAAGATGAACAGAACAATGCATAAATGAAGTGAGAATTTCAACTAAGAGATAAAAAATAAATAAGTACCAAATAGAAATCACAGGGTTAAAGCACACAATAACTGAACTAAAAATGTTAAGAGAGTAAACAACAGACTAAATGAAGTGGGGCAAAGGCTCAGCAAACTCAAATATAAGGCAGCAAAGTTTATCCCAATAGATGGCAAAACAAAGAATTAGAAAGAGTAAGAAAACTTAAGGGATTTACAGAACATTGTTAAGTGATATGATACTCATAGGGGACTCAGAAGGAGCAGAGAGAGAGAAAAGAAAAGAAAATTTATTTGAAGAAATAATGACTGAAAACTTACCTAATCTGGGAAAAGGAACAGATTTCAAATCTAGGAATCTCAGAAAGTTCCAAATTAGATGAAACTAAGGGCCCCATGCCAAGACACATTCTAATTACACAGAATTTGGAAGTGAGAACATTTTCAAAGCAGCCCAAGAGAAAAACAACTTGTTACCTATAAGAGAAGAATCATAAAACTCTCAATAGATTTTACAGCAGAAACCTTGTAGTCCAGAAGGAAGTGGGATGCTATATTAAAGGGGCTGAAGGGAAACTGCCAACCAAGAATGCTCTACCTGGGAAAAATATCCTTCAAAATCGAGAAATAAAGAGTATTCCAGACAGGCTATAGTTTGAGTTCATAGACTAGCCTTTCAAGAAATTTTGAAGTACTTCTTCAAGTTGAAATAAAAGGATGGTAATTAGTAACAAAATAATAAGGTATAATTATCTTTTGTAAAGGTAAATATAGAAACTCAAAATTATCTGATGTATTGGCAGTGGATAAATCATTAATAAATATAAAATAAAAATTAGAAAAAAGTAGTAAAGAACTCTAACTACATTAATTTGTTTATGGAATCACAGAACAAAAAGATGTAAAGTGTATCATCAAAAAATTAAAATAAAGGAAGGGGAAAGTAAAAATGTAGCACTTCATAGCCTAAATTAAATAGATTCTGTCTTCTGTAAAAAGAAATTTATACTAATTTTTCAGGATAATAAATTTTTATGTTCTCAAATCAAATTTTATAATAAAAAGTCACCTTGAAAGTAAAGTAATTCATGTCAGAATTTATGTCAACTTCTTAGAAAATCAATAAATCAAGGCAATTTCCTATATTTTTTCTAAATAATAATGATTGAGTTAGCTTCACCAAATATTTACTTAGTGCCTACATTTTTGCAAGGCCTAACACTGGGTACAATCATAATATTATGTTACTTAATATTCCAAACAAAGCTGCATAGTAACTGTATCAGTATGTCCATTCTGCAGATTAGGATAATTGCTCAGAGCAATTTCTGATTGGCCATCACTACACAGATGGGAACAAAGAGTAGAGGCTCTCCATACCCATCAAGCTTGCCAATAACAATAGCCCTGAGACACTTGGAAGCTTTTGGTCACCCAAATAAGATTTCATTTTATTTACTCTAGCTAAAAAGTGTACCCATGAAGTATGGAAAGACTGGAACAAAAATTGAAGCAAATGAATTGGTTGTTCAAAAAGCTTAATTAATCTTTAGTTATCCAGATAATTTAGCTGACCAATATACCTTCCCTATGCATTCTATTTAATCAACATCTTAATAGATATGTGTCAACTTAGCCTAAAGGCAGCAAAATATTGCCTACTAGAAGACTTGGGGAAGTTATTTTAATAAAAATGATTTATCATGATTATCAGTCTTGTTTACATGTAATTTATGCTCCCAATGTATTTGATGTCATTTTGAAGAGGTTTTTAGAGTATTCTAAGCAACCTCTGCTCCTCAAATTTTTCAACCATTGTTTTCATAGCCACTTCAAAAAGGTTTTACTAAACACAACAGATCTTCAATCCCATCATGTCCAAATAATTGTAAATTTCAATTAGCAAGCTATTTCTTCACTAATTATACATGTAAAGCATTCTCCATAATCCTTGAAATACAGCATTCATTTTATCAAGTGCATTTCAAATAGACATCTCTGTCTTACAGAAAATTCAAAGCAACCTGATATCACTAAATAAAATTTATATTTCACATTTCATATAGACTTAATAATATATTTCTACATCTATAATGTGTTGAATGTGAATTTTAATAAATGAGCATTAGTTGTTTCTCCCTTTGTATTATACCATTGGGAGAAAATTCTACATGTAAATGTCTTTCACAAAAATTTGCATTTTTCAAATATAGTATTAGATATGAACTGATTAAAATTCTGATAGCACACACAACTTGGATTCATAAAACTCTAAAACATTTTATCTTTTCCTGAATTTTCCTAAAATGCAAAAAAAGGTTTTTCTGTACTGTTGTTCTCTCTAGGGCTTGTAAAGGAGGGAGTTAAATCTTATTGAGAGAATTGCCTGTTGGGAGCAATTCTCCATGAGTCTCCTGCATTTCCACACATTTTCTGAACAGGACAGAGGCACCAACCCTACCTTTCTTCACAACCTTTTCAAGAATGCTCGTGTAATGAAGAGGCAGTGTCTCCCTCCAGAGGAAATAGTAGGTCAGTTACTGTACATACTAACAATGACAATAACTCCCTAGACAGGATTTCTGTAATGTAAACCACTGTACATGCACCTGTCATCTATTCTCCCTCACCTTTGGGAACTGGGCTGGGAGAAATGGCACCAAAATGCTGATACTCTGACAATAGCTACTTTTTGTAAGTAGCTGTCTTTATTTTCTGAACTAGAAACCTGCTTCTATCCACATCTATGATAGTGCAATTAAAGCAAAATATCAGAATCTTCCCAGTTCATGTTAGTGGTGGCAGTTTCAACATGAATTGTGTAACCTGGCTTACAAAAAACTAACTCCTGTTCAGGTTTTCTACCTTCCTAACTGTCTGGGTTGGCCAGTCTAGTATTCTTGTCTGATTCTTCAAAAAATTTGCCATCTTCATAATGCAAAACTCAACTCAGCTTTTAAAAAATCTTATTCACAACCCTTCCTTCTGTCCTCTAGTAAAAGAACTAAGGCAAGTTCCCTTCCTCCTAGTTCTTCTCTAAACACAGAATTCTGGGCATGTCTTTCTACTTTGGGGTGAATAGAAACTATGTTCCCATAATCACTCATTCCTTCTATAAATCACCAACATCCAATCCATTTACCATTTCATTGTTTATATGATTTTGATTTAATCACATTGCCAATCATAATATGATATGAATATTTCTGTAGAGTCAGCAGATAGTTCTCAATCAATAACCTGGTATTATTTAAAAAATTTTGTCAGAAACTCATTTTACCTTCTACCTAAATTCTCTTTATCTTCATCACAAATATATTTGGCATCATTAGTTGGTTTAACTCTCAAGAGACCAATTTTTCCTATGTATTATCTGCAGAAAGCATCCAAATAACTATTAACATTTGCCTTATTGGAGTAAGTCCTTCTGAGGTCTGGAAAGGCAGGGGGTGGATATCATCTCACCTTAAAAATATATTTCACATGAATATTATTGCAGGGAATATCTAATTTTTCAAGTAATTTCAGAGTTTTTTCTAGATTAATTTTTCCACCTTTAAAGTCATCCCGAATTACCGACAAAAACCACGTATGAAGAACACAAAAATAGGTTAAGGAAATTCTCACAAAAAGTCACTAAGTACTTAAAAGAAATATGTGATCTGTCTTCAACTTAATGTACTTATTTTTAAGGGAGAGTCTTTCTACTTAAATCACAAAATAATTCTATCCTTAATCATATTTAAAACAAGCACAATAAAGTATGTAATATTCTATAACACATTAAAAATTAAAGGCCATAACACATTAAAAAGTACAGGAAAAACAGAAATAAATATTTGAGAAATCAATTTACACTGGAAGATAGAGTTCACTGAGAGAAGACATGTCCTGAGAAGAGGGACTTAACTCTCCCTTTTTTGTGACCTCTCTCAGCTTCAGTTCTTTCATGTGAAAAAAAGTGGGCAAATCAGTACAATGGGGAGGTGGGATGTCCTTGAACACAGTCTCTGCTATTGAAAATTCAATAAATAGTAGCCATGTCTGATATACTTGTTATTACCACATATTAGTTAAATGTCCAGCTTTCCCACAGCTCGAAAAAGCAACATTGTGAGTACCATAACTAGGATTAAAAAATGCCATGGTAACAAATTATAAACCAATACACCTCAATAAAAAAAAAAATTTAAATGCCACATTGAATATATATTTGGCATTAAAGAGAAAACTAAAATTATCAAGCTTACTTATTATATACAGGTAAACTACAAAAAATTAAGGTATTGCAGTTTGAAAAACTAAGGTTGTAAAGAATTAACAGCACAGTCTACACCTATGAAAGTTATTTGCAAAAACTGTTCAAAAATCTACTCAATTTCAGATTGTTAGAGCTAATGAGGGACCTTAAATTTAAAGTCTATGAGTCAATATGGCAAAGTTGATGTGCTTATAAGAAAAAGATACAAGAAAGATAAGGAAACTCAGAAAAGCTGAGGACAGGTATGAAAAGTTTATACTTAAATAATAAGGACTTAAGTTCAGGACTCTTCAAAAAGAATGAAAATCAAATAAAGGGAATACAATCAAGAGAAAGAAGAGGAAAGAGACACAAAAAGAACTTCTGAGTGGATATCTCTCCATATTTTCATGACCTCTTGTTTCGTTTCTCCTCACTTAGCAGTCTCTCCCCATTAGGTGTTGTCACGGGTTCCAAATATAATTAACTCTGCCAGAAATGCATCGATGCCTTTGCAGTGTTGCCACTGCCCCCTTTCTAGAGAGAAAGCAGAGAACAAGTGGTTTGTAGCCTTTCTTCTTTGGAGTTAGCACACACCCACCGTCCTGCATTTCACTGCCCTTGAAACTTCCTGGCTTCTTGCTTATGTGTTGACCATCTCCAAATCTAGTGTTTATAAATACAACATCCCCTGCTGTCTGACCTTTTTCCATGAACTGCCATCCTATCTGATTTTATTTTTACAATTTTGTTTAAACCCTTCAAACCTTTCATTGTAACATGCCCACAGTGGCTTTGGGGCAGCTCTGTGGAGGGCCTGACCATAAAGTAAGGCTGGTTGGTCCCCCAAGGTACAAAGTGCTGCCAAACATTGCCTAGAAATTCTGGGTTGCTTCTCTAGATCCTTGACAGCATACAGTGCACACAGAGACACACCACTTTGGAAGAAGTTTCTTCAGGAGGCTAAGTTTCTTAAAATCTTCTAAATAGTTTCCACTGGTTGACTGAGCGCATTGTTGGCCGGTGACTGTCATGGTTTCCTTTGGGTCTGGGCATCCATTGTGATATCATCATGAGTTCCACATGTCACCAAGAAAGTTGTTTTATGACTTCATCAGGCGCCAGACAGTGCCAGAGAACCAGTTTTCATGGTTAGACACAGTAATTTTCAGCTTGCTGTTTAACACCTTGATGGGAAAGGTGTCTCATGGAATGTTTTCTCATCCGTTGAACACTCTTCATTTCAGAAGCTTTGCTTCTGCTGCCACCAAACATGTCAATTGCTGTTCTGAGTAGGAAAGAGAAAGAAAAAGCAATTCGCAGACTGTTGATTCAGGCTCCTCCTGGGGAATTTGTAAATGCTTTTGATGATCTCTGTCTGCTTATCCGTGATGAAAAACTTATGTACTATCAAGGTGAGTGTGCAGGACACCAACACTGCAAAAAATATTCTGTCCCACTCTGTATTGATGGAAATGCAGTCCTCTTGTCTCACCACAATGTAGTGGGTGACTACCGATTTTTTGACTACCAAAGCAAACTCTCCTTCAAATTCGACCTGCTTCAAAACCAGCTGAAAGACATCCAAAGTCATGGTATCATTCGAAATGAGACAGAATACCTGAGAACTGTTGTTTTGTGTGCCTTAAAACTGTATGTGAATGATCACTATCCAACAGGAAATTGCAATGTACTGAGAAAATCTGTAAAAAATAAGGAGTTCTTGATAGCTTGCATTGAGAATCACAACTATAATACAGGAGATTGCTGGAATGGCCTTTGGAAATCCAAATGGATTTTCCAAATAAACCCATTTCTAACTCAAGTAACAGGAAGGATTTTTGTGCAAGCTCACTTCTTCAAGTCTGTGAACCTTCATATTGAAATCTCCAAGGATCTGAAAGAAAGCTTGGAAGTGGTTAATCAAGCTCAACTGGCTCTAAATGTTTCAAGGCTTGTGGAAGAACAAGAGAACAGATTTCAAACTGCAGTCTTAGAAGAATTACAGGAGTTATCAAATGAAGCTCTGAGAAAAATTCTACGAAGAGATCTTCCAGTGACCCGCACTCTTATTGATTGGCAGCGGATACTATCTGACTTGAATCTGGTGATGTACCCTAAATTAGGATATGTCATCTATTCAAGAAGTGTGTTATGTAACTGGATAATATAAAGGATTGCTCCGGGTAATTGCTTGATCTGATTTGTGTTTCTAGAGGATGGTATTTTCCCTATTATTGAGAAGCTAGAAGAGATGTCTATGACTTAGCAAATGTGAGTTAAAGCTAGGGGGGAGTATAATAAATAATTTTAGTCAGGGAATATTTACCAATAAGGCTAGAAAGGAGTGACATAAATGTGTTTCATGATTTCAACCATCATAAAGCTGAAGACGCTTATTAGAACCTAAAACAGTTTTAGAGAAAATGGCATCTCAGAAGTGTATAGAGGTGGCCTGGGTGAATCGTGTGTGTAGGATTATTTCTAATTTTCTTTGGAACTAGGGAAGAAATGCAAATGAAAGCCACTGCAAATAATGCACATAATTCAATTCAGTCCACACCAACACCAAAAATATGCATTTCAATAAATGGCATTAGGTCTGATGTTCCATGAAACCAAGAGATATCAAAAAATCTAGCTCAGGTTAAGGACTATTATTAAACCTGGATACAGTGGTACCCAACACATATAAGAACTGCAGACTTAGGAGGTTTCTGAAAACTAACATGGTCTTCAAAAAATTAATGGAAAGAAAAGGCCTGATCTCTCAAGCTTATGTAGTCAAGCTCTTATGACATCAATATAAGCATCTATAAGTACTTCAGTCCAGACCCTGTGCTAGGTGAATTTGCACAAGATTTTCTATCACTGGATTGGTATGTGTAGTAACCCCACTGTACCTAAGAAGCTAAGCATTCATGTGGCTTAATTCATCTCGCCACACAGTAAGTGACAGGTCCATGTATTGGCTCCCATCTTAACCTCTAGGATATCACTCATGACTCTTTGTGGATGCCTGTCTCATTAAGGGTTGTGAACTCTACAATAATGGAGGCAAGCATTCTGGGTAAAGGATACCCCCAAAGGAAATGGAATGGGGGAGTGCTGTTGTTTTCCAATCAAAGCAGTTTACTTATACAGTCACTTACCACCATAATTATCAGTGTTACTAACCACATGTGGCTGTTCCCTGAGAACTGCAAATATAAGCCTCTGCTAAGATTGCAGAATACTACTACACAGGTCCCATCCCTCAATGCTGACTTACTGATCTGGGAAGCAATGTACTTTATATTTTGGGTTCATGAAACTCAGAAAAGGTCTAATATTGCTTAAAATTAACATACAAGTAGATATTTCAAATAAACATTGAACTTTCAGGGTTTGAGCATATTTTCAGTGTGGTTCAGCATTTTCGCTTAATAAGCATTGGCATAGACATGATCCTTTGTAAGAATTTCTGATTCTCAAACATTTCTTCCCAGTGGGTGGTCCTCAAGAATCTCAGGAAAGGTACTTAGGGTTTATCTTTAAAAACACAAATTATGGGAGAGGAGGGGACCCAAGGGACTATGATGGAGAATTACAGTGCTTTTGGTAGTAGGTGTGGTGTGGTAACATATATCTGAAGAGGTGTAAACCTGCACCCCTAAATCATATATAGTATAGTAAACCAATGTTACCTCAATAAAAATATAATTTAAATATACATAAAAAGTTAAAAATATACAAAGTCAAATTCCCAGAACCCAAACTCTGATTCAAGTAAGTCAGGAAATCTACATTTAATTACTTATCAGAGATGATTCTGATGCAAGGGGTCTTAAAGCCACACTTAAAAAATACTGCCCTAGCCATAAAGTAATACATGTCTACTTTCTATATACTTAAAATAATTTCCTATAAAACCTATTTCTCAATGAAAGCCATTTCTACTACTTCACTCAACTCATTATGCACAGACAAGGACAGGCATTCTTTATCAGTCATGAAAAAAGGTAAGAAAAATCTTTCTAAAGAAAAGCAGCAAAGATCCAGTGCCTTCAACCAATGTAAATAAAGAAGAAAAGCAGCAAAGATCCAGTGCCTTCAACCAATGTAAATAAAGAAGAAAAGCAGCAAAAAATGAGAGCAAAGTGCTCTCAAGTCACTAAAATATGCCCATTTGACAAATTATTCAGCAGAAATTTTAATTAATATTATGCTTATAGGTTAAAATGTTGATTTTCCAGATCATTCCAGAATAGGACTTGTGGTAATTTATGGGACAATCAGACATTTGTCTCCCATTTTGACACAGGTTTTTAAAAAATAGTATTTATTGATTTTTCTGGATATAAAAGACACATGTACAAGTCACAGAGATGCTTAAATTATAAGGCATTTTGGCCTATTTCTTTCCATCCAATTTTACAAAATTGTTTTAAGAAATATAGCATATAAAAATGCATATCCTGTTTTTTATATAGCCTCATATAAACATTGTCCCATGTCATTAAAATTCCTTGTTCACATAATTTTAATTATTTATGAGATATTCGTACTGTTCATATCACAAGACAACCATTTTCCTATTCATATGTAATTTAAAATTTTTAGCATTTTATTTCTCTTATTGATTATGCTATACTGAAAATCTCTGAGCATAAAAATTTACCCACAGTATGGATTATTTCCCCATAGATAAATTCCTAAAATTGCATAGATGTGACCATATTAATGTTCCCAATTGAAAAGATGTGACCATATTAATGTTCCCAATACATATTGCCTAACTATGTTCCAGGAAAAAAAGTAACAATTTTTTTTACTTTTATTTATTTTTTTAACATTTATCATTTTTTTACATTTTTTAGACAATATTTGCTTCCCCCCACTCCCTCAGACTGAGTCCCCCTAGAATTTCCTTCCCCAAGGCACCCATACACCATCACCACAGTCCCCTGTGCTCCTCACTCTCTCCCTATTACTCCTCTCCCTCCCCCTCCCCTGCAGGATGTCTCTGGTTTATAATTGTCTATTTTTGCTTTGTTCTGGTTTGTATTGTTATTATTACTTTTTTTACACTGATGTCTTATTTGGTTCCACTATATTCCTGTTATAAGTGAAACCATCCGATATTTTTCTTATTCCTTCTGGCTTATTTCACTGAGCATAATTACTTCTAGCTCCATCCACATCGCTGTGAATGGCATCAGTTTAACTTTTTTGATTGTTGAATAATATTCCATTGTATATATATATATATATATATATATATATATATACCACATCTTCTTGATCCAGCCATCTATTTTTTGGGCATTTGGGTAAAAGTAACAATTTTTAATCCCATCAGTAGCATAAAACAGTGTCTAGTTCACCACAGTAATCTTAGCAATATTAACTACCAGATTCTTCCTTTGACAGGCATCCACAGCCTTAAAACAATACAAATTTTAAAAGGTATTTCATTACTTATGCCAAACTATACCCAAAGTATCCCCATAATGATATTATTGGATTATTAATTTCTTTAAATGGAGGCTGAAGTAGCCAAAAAAATCTCGTTACTATTTCTTCTCTCTACCTTTATCTCACATACACACACACACACACACACACACACACACAGCTATATTTCGACACACTATGAATACACATATCCACACACACACCTAGGCATATACACAGATACAAAAACTGCTTCAGATCCTGAATAATCAGTAACAATTTTTTAGTATTCCAGTGTTTTCTCCCCCACTATTTCAATTTCCAACCAGAATGTAAATTCCCTCAGAATGAGGACCTTTTCTATCCCATGTACCTATTCCCTTAGTATCTGTTATAAGGTAGATATTGAATGGAATGGATGAATGAGTGAACGAATGAACAATAATAATAAAGATATGGTGAGTTTATTTGGTCTTAAGATTTTGTAAACCATCAATACCTGGTGTCCCTTTAGGAATTCTGTATTCAACTGCAGAGTCCCAAGACTGTTGTTGTAACTGCTCATTTTCTAAGACTGTTCAAGACTATTGATTCTATTCTGAACTTACAATTGGCCACATTGCTCTGATTAAAAAAAGAAAAAATAATGACCTTTCCTCTAATCACAAGCCAAATACAGTTTTGTCCTCCATCAAGTTTTAAAAAATCAAAATTTTCAAAAGTCAAATATTTATTTCAATTTTCCATGACATGCTTTCAAAGATTTTCTGCCCTTTCCCTCGAGGGGTCATAAAATGAGCATAACATGTTCTAATCAAGCAGAGCTCCACGGGGGGAATGCATCCTTCAAC